TTAATGCTCAACGTTTGAATTTGAATTGATTCCGATCTTCATGGGCCTCGCCTTTTGGCCCAAATTACTTTGAACCGTCCTGACTTTGATTCCGGGTCACATCCCGAGATGGGACCACTTCGAGATCTCTTCGTGATGACGCCCACTTCGATTGTATCTTGTAAACCATGGGCTTAATGGGCCTTATCCTTTGTGGGCCTTCATCCTGATTACGTGGCGATCTTTGGTTGGTCCCGGTCTACTGGTGCGGGATCCGACACCCACAATTAGCCCCCCAAGTCTTTCGAAGTGCTTATTCCAATTCGGAAGATTTTAATGCTGAAACGACCAAAGATTGCGCTTAAGGATCTTCTGATTTCCCGCCGAAAATCTCATCACTCCTTTAATCTCGGCACTAGCCATTTTTAACTGAGTGACATCTGTCACCATTATGACCGTATATTAATTAATTACTATTAAAACGGGAAAAACCTTCCCACTTCCCACACAACTTCCGAGGCGGTTCCATCATTTAGCTTGTGAAAGGTAACTTCTTTTCGTCATCATTTTTTACTTTTACTTTTGCGCTTTAATCAAAACTTCTCTCTTCTCTCCTTCGCCAAACCCTCTTCGCCGGACCTTTGAATTTTTCTTTTTCTCCGATGACTTCTGATTCTGAAAGACCTGAGTCTCCGTCTTATGACGAGAGACGTTCTAGCAACGACGAATGCACTCGTCCTAACGACATTGCTGGTCCGCACTATAGATCCACCTGTACTCTTCAATCCCTAGAACGATTAAAGGGGCTTTGCCAGATTCCCCCTGGAATCATAGTAGAAGCGCAGATAGCCGACCCTACGGAATCTCCGAAAAACCACCGCGACGGCTACTTTTGCGTTTATGAAATCTATTTCAAGGGCTGTGGACTGACCTTCCCCCTTCCCGAAGCCCTAGTTCGATACCTGGCGGCTCTTGAGATCGCTTTGCCTCAGCTAACCCCCAATCTCCTCTGAACTATCCTTGGGATCATAACCGTTGCGGCGGAAGCTTGCTACATTATTGGGGTTCCCGAGCTGAACGAACTTCTAAGTGTGAGAAGTTCGTCAAAGAAAACAGGATACTTCTCGGCATATCCAAATGCCAACAGGAACGTCATCTCGCATCTCCCGAACAAGGATGAAAACTGGCACCATCCTTGGTTCTTGATTAAGAAAACTCCTACTTCGATTGGAAATCTTTCTGATGTACTCCCATCGAAGTGGTCTGCAAAGCCTGGTAGAAACTAGGTCGTAAATTCCTTTCCTGGTTGTTTTATTTTTACTGACAAAACTCGTTGTTTCACTTTGCAGCTTTTATCGCTTCGACTCTTCCGACTGAAGAATTCGTCAATTTCTTCAAAACAATCCTTAGAGGGGAAACCCTTTGGAATTCTTTCACTCTCGATCGGTTTGTTGAAGCCAATCGAAAACTCAGGATGAGTCCGCCCAATCACCTTCATCGTCTTCCGCCTCCTCCTTCAACTCAGGGAATGTCAGCTCGGGCCCTCACTGCCCAGCGTAAGAAGCTCTCCAAGCCGATAGCAGAGGCTTGTGATGAAAACAAGGCGCTCCTTGCAGCCGTCATTGACAAGAAAGACTACAGCAGGACCTTACTGGTTGACGACAACAGCACCGAGGGGGCCAGATCTGTCGCTGCTTTTAGATTAACACCTCGTCGTGAACGTCGTAATGATCGTTCTCCTCGGAGGGACCGATCTCCTCGTCGTGACTCTCCTCGTCCTTCCCGGGATGATTTTAGCAATGAACCACTTAAGAACTTGGTTCGCAAGAAGAGAGACAAATCATCTCGTAGTGATTCTTCTCCACATAGGGAGAAGTCGAGGGCCCGGACTGACCGTTCACCTCGATCGTCCCCTCCTTCTAAATCAATGGGTCCTCCTGCTCCTGTTGACATGTCTTCCTTTCCCAAACATGATGGCGAGAAGACTGCTCGGAGCGTATCTCCTCAGAAGGAAAGTTCTGGATCTCAAGATGCTTCCCCGAAGTCAAAACCTGCTCTTGTCCCCCAGATCAAATCGCTTACAGGTAACGATTTACGCACTCTTAAGGGTTTTCACTCCATCCTGATTCAAAATATTACAACTCCCCTTCTTCTTCCTTCACAGCTATGGAGAAAGAAGGTAGCGTCTTTCGATGCTTTAAGACCCGGTCGGGTCTAATCCTGCCAGAATTCGACAAGTGGCGTCCTGCAATTCGCGAACGCTATTTGCTTCATGCGCATCACTCATCTCGGGTTAGTTCCACCAAGTTTTTTTTTTTTAGTTTTGCTATTACCCTTTATTCTGACTCTCCATCCCGAATTTATATGAAATGCCAGGCAAACAGTGAACTCAACGATATGGTTGAGCACTACGAGGGACTGCTGCTTAGCCAACTACAGGAGATTAGTTCGTTGAAAGGCAAGCTTACTACTGTTGAAACTGACCTCCATTTATCTTCCGGCTCCAAGCAACAACTGGAGGATCAAGTCGACAGTCTCACATCTGAGCTCGGGACGATAAAGCGCGAACTGCAGGATCAGCAGGATCGGAATTACCAACTCCAGGGGGAACTTTCTGGTGTTCAGGACAGACTAACCGAGTCGGAATCAGCTGCTTATAATCTGTCCAACCAATTCGATGAGCTTGATGCTAAGTATAAGGCGATCACCAAATTACGGGACTCCGAGTTGGCGAGGTCAGCGTCGAAGGCTAGGAAAGAGGTCAAGGGACATGGGATGGATTTGATCCAAGGTGCCATTCGCTTCATGCAAACCGAGAAGGAACGATCGATTTTGGAATCGGACATCAAGGAGTACGAAAGCAACTTACTCCTATTGGAACAAATCCACGAGGAAGGCTTCTCCGAAGAGCAGGAAAAGACCGAGCTAACGAACAATTTGGCTGAAAAACGAAGTCGCCTCGCAGCCATCCCTGCTTCCTCTTTCAATCCTCAGCAGTTTGAGGAGTTCTTCACCGAGTCACCCCCCTTGAGCGAATCCGGTTTAGACTGGGCTGGTAAGTCCATGTTCTTTTAACACTAACCCTTTTCCTGCTTTTAACTTTTGGCTGACTGGAACTGTTCCTCCTAGGTTCTCATGAGACGGGGAATGTCGCTCCATCCGAAGTCCCTGTTGCGTCGGTTGTCACCCCAGAAGATGATTGCGCAGTCGGGAACGAGCAAAGAACCTCTTCTGAGCAAGTCCCAGCTGAAGAGGCGAGTGAGACCCCCGACATCTGAAGTGGAGGCCGAGGTGTCTGCTGACCCGTAGTGGCTGCGTCCACTCCGAATTGGGGCTTGTCCCATTATTATTATTTTTTTTGAGACTTAAATCTTTATGTTTTTGCTTTTGCCTAAGGAGGCTTTATTATCAATCTCTTTTGAACAAGATATTTGCCTGAGGAGGCTTTTAAACCTTTTTTCTTTAAGGTTATGATCCCGAGGGGGTTTGGTTAAAATTATATGCGGGTTTGCAAAGTCCGCTTTTAACACTTCTTGGCCTTGTGGCTATGTTTTTTGAGATTTTTAGGCTGATCAGGCCCTTCTTTTGGAATGCGAGAATTGAGCTCGGCTTAAAACGAGTTTCCCACTTCGGGTTTAATCAACTCGGTGAATTCGTTGGGCTTGGGCCTTTAAAAACTTTTGTGCCTAATGGGCTTCTTGCCTTAAATGCGACGGTTGCTCTTTCCCTTTCTTGGGAAATAGGAAAAGCCGCACGTCTTTAAGGCAATAACTGCCTTTCTCTATTTCCAAAAACGGTTTTAACCACTCGGGCACACTACCATCATTAAATTTACGGTTTCAAGATAAACCCTAGACCTATTATAAATAGAGGCAATTTTGCCTCTAACTTTTTCCAAAGAACTCCAAAATTTCCTTGGTAATTTTCTCAATAATGGAGAACGAAAATGTGACCCCCATCGATCCTGGCAGCCCCCTGTTCTTGTCCGGCGATGGCTTCGAGCCGGCCGGCGTTCTCTTTCCTCATGCCGTGTTCCACTTTCCTTCGAGGGAGAAGAAAGAGGCTTACGACTTCATGGACAAGGTCAGAATTCGCCTCTCTCAACCAAACTCCTATGCTTTTTTCTTTTGATTCACTTATTTTGTGACAGGTCGTTGACAAACATCGCCGTTTGTGCGACGAGAGGCAACGACTGGGACTCAAGAGGCAAACACTCGAGGCTCGTATTGCTCGAGTGGAGAGGAAAGTGAGAGCCTTGGAAAGTGATCCCTTCCAATGGGAGTGGAGGAACTTCGACTCTATCTCAGAGATCCCGAGAATGCTCCGGATGTATCTTCGTGCTAAAGGTCAGGTCCAGGGACCGGTGAATGCCCCGACCGAAGTTGCTCCTCTTGTCAGCGAAGAGGAAGACGAGGAAGATGACGACAAACCTTGCAAACGTGTTCGGAATGAACTCGGAGCGGAAGGCAAGGACGATGCTTCTACTTCGAATTCCAAATCGGCGATGAAGGAGCCTGTTCCTGAGCCTCTTCCATAAATGTCTCAAACTCCGTTCTCTTTTCTTTTTTTTTTTGAACTCGTAATGGGCCTTGGCCCTTTTTATTTATGGAAACACTTGCAACTTTTTAATTCTCGTATCATTCTTGGAGATACGTCTTTTAATGCAGGATCGGTTTAAAAGCATAAATCTCTCCGCGAATCACCCTATTTCCGTGCTGAATCCGCAGCTTGCTAGGGATACGACATCCCTATAAATTACAGCTTCAACTTCCCTTCACTCCTCACTATTCTTCTTAATTCTGCAGATATGGACTTTAACCTTCGATGTTCTGAGTCTATGCCGGACTTCTCCAGGATCGGAATGATAGATGAAGATGTTCCAGATGTTCCAAGTAGACGATCTTCTCCACTTCGCGGCTTTTTCAGATCTCAGATCCGAGCTCCATGCGCTTTGATCAAGGACCTTCCAGATAGAGATCGGGAGATCGCGATGGCCTTTATCAAAGCGCTCGCAATTCAACACAGGAAGCTATCGCTGGAAAAGAAAAAACTTCGGAAGAAGATTCATCGAATGCAACGCAGGGTCACTGCGATATCAAGGGATCTTCACATCCTTAGTTCTCACCCCGGAGAGTGGATTGAGCTCGGAATCTCTGATTTTGCTCGCATCCCGGATTGTATGATGCCAGTTCTTGACCTCGCAGGTCAAGGAGTTCAAGTGTTTTGTTCTCCGGGAGGGTTTTCCTAACTCGAAGTGTGCGAAGATCGACACTTTGTCTTGTTCGTTTGAATAAATGTTTTGCTTCCAGTTTTTGTGCATTCGCCTAGTCGAATCTTATTTGCCTTGTACGTTCGCATAGTCGAATTTTTCCTCTTTAAGAAATAAAAACAAATTTTCATTAATAGCTGAACTCGTTTTCGAGCTGCCTACGTACCCATTTCGGGATCAAGCCACACCGTAGTTCATGTACATAATAAAATGCGTATTATTAAACATAAAACTTCTTTAGATTGATCACGTTCCAAGGTCGCTGGACTGGACTACCTTCTAAGTCTTTCAACCTATAAACACCATTTCGAATCACTTCGGTAACAATATAAGGTCCTTCCCAATTAATGCCGAGTTTGCATGCGCCTTCTTCCTTTTTATTGTCGAAAACTCGCCTTAGCACATAGTCTCCTACAAAGAATGGCCTACTTTTGACTTTGGAATTGTAGTATCGAGCTGCTGCTTGCTGGTAATTTTGTATCCGAATTAAAGCTTGATCTCGTCTTTCATTAATGGTATCCAGCGAGTCGTCGAGCATTGCTGAATTCTCTTCCTCATTCAATGGTGCTTCTGTTCGGCGAAGGCCGGACACGTTGAGTTCAGCCGGTACTACTGCTTCCATGCCATAAACTAGAGAGAACGGGGTTTCTCCAGTAGGTCGCCTAGGGGTTGTTCGATAAGCCCATAGGACAGGTTGGAGTTCATCATACCATCCTCCCTTTAGGTGACTCAAGCGTTTTTTGAGATTGCTCAAAATTGTTTTGTTCGCAGCTTCGGCTTGGCCATTTCCTTGTGGATACCGTGGAGTAGAATAACTGAATGAATTGTGGCCCATTATCAGTAACTATCTCGTATGGAACCCCATGTCGGCATATGATGTTCTTCCAAATGAAAGTATTCACCGCCGAATCTTTGATGCTAGCATATGCTTCAGCTTCAATCCACTTTGAAAAATAATCCGTTAAGACCAACAGGTATTGTACTCCTCGAGTTGATCTGTGCAATGGTCTAATGATATCCATCGACCACCTCATAAATGGGTACGGGGCAGAGATGGAGGAGAATAACTCCGAAGGTTGATGGATCAACGGTGCATGGAGTTGACAACGTTTACACCTTTGAGCGAACTTGACACAATCCGTGATCATAGTGGGCCAATAATAGCCCATCCTTTTTATTTTAAAAGCCATGGCCCTTCCAGACGCATGACTCCCACACAGACCTTCGTGCACTTCTCTCACGACGATTTCGACTTCGGGCCCAAAAATGCACAATAGGTAGGGGTCGCTGACACCCCGCTTATACAACGTATCCTTCGATAGACAAAATTTCGCGCTAACGATTCTCATTTTCCTGGCTTGCCACTTATTTTTCGGGAGCTCACCTGTCGTGATGTAGTGCTTTATTGGCTCCCTCCAATCAGCCCCCCAATCTTTAGCCGGAATTTGGTCAATCTCATGAAATACTCGTGGTTCCGGTTCGGGATGTTCATTTGGTTCAAGGTCTGGTTCGGGATGGTCGTCTTCGATTAACGGTTTCGTCTCTATAACAGTTTCTGGAAGTATATCTGGTTCCTTGTTGTGCTTTTTCGACTTCCTCCGTTTGACAGGTGGCAGCTCGACCTCGGGCTCGCCACGTTCACGCGCTGCTGCTCGAGACCTTGTAACAACGAGAACTTCTTTGTCAGTTTTAATGCTTCGTTCCGTGATACATTCAACCGGAATAATTCTTTTCAGTTCAGGATCTGATGTTGACGCTAATGCGGCAAGTGCATCTGCGGTTTGTGTTTTCTCCTCGAGGTATGCGAATTAGTTCGAATTTCTTGAAGTCTTTGGAAAGATCTTTCACTACTTCGAGGTATGCTTCCATTCTCAGGTCTTTCGCTTCATAATCGCCATTGAACTGATTAACTACTAACTGTGAATCACAATAAGCAACCACTTCTTCAGCTCCAACCCCTTGTGCCAGTCGAAGTCCGGCAATTAGTGCCTCATACTCTGCCTCATTGTTAGAAGCATTGAACAACAAACGGAATGATTGTTCAAGAATTTCTGACGTTGGAGATTCCAACTTGACTCCTACCCCAGATCCTTGTTTTGATGAAGATCCGTCTACATACAGTTTCCAAGTCTGATTCTCTGGTTGCTCCGGTGTGCTCAGCACTGGTAGTTCGGTTAGGAAATCTGCCAAAACCTGAGCCTTCATGCTGACCCGGCTTTTATATTCTATATCATATTCACTTAGTTCCACTGCCCACTTTGCCAATCGTCCGGACTGATTTGGACTATGAAGTATTGTTCGGAGTGGCTGGTTGGTTAACACTTCGATTGGATGAGATTGGAAGTACGGACGTAGCTTCCGGGCCGAAGTTACTACTGCAAGTGCGAGTTTTTCCATCATTGTGTACCTTGTTTCTGGATCTGTCATTGACTTACTTATGTAGTAAATCGGCTTTTGCTCTCCGCGGTCCTCCCGGACCAAGACTCCACTAACTGCATGTTTTGACACTGAAACATACAAATAGAGCTTCTCGTCCACTTCGGGTTTAGACAACACTGGTGGAGTGGTAAGGTATGCTTTAAGTTGTCCGAAAGCTTCTTCACACTTCTCATCCCAAAGGAACCCTTTGTTTCCCTTTAGAATTTGATAAAAAGGTAAAGATTTGTCCGTTGATCTTGAAATAAATCGGTTTAAGGCTGCAATTCGACCAGTCAAACGCTGTACTTCCTTGAAGTTCTTCGGAGATGGCATGTTTAGAAAGGCATTGATTTGGTTTGGATTAGCTTCAATTCCTCTTTCTGCCCACTAGGAAATCTTGGAATTATTCCCTTCTTCGCAGGTTTCGTTAATTACTATTGGATCTTCAGTCGCTGACTGGTCAGATAACACGTTCGTGAAGCGTCTTGACTTCCTCGAATTGTTTCCACTCCACTAGGGGTTGGAAATTTGATGCATTGATGATATGTCGAGGGGACTGCCTTCATTTGATAAATCCACGGAGTCCCAAGGATGATGTTATAGGCTGCCGGTTTATCAAAAACAATAAAATCTACTATCTTTGACACATTTTTGGCAAGAACTAGCAGCTTGATCGTCCCGAGAGACATGGCCGACTCGCTTGTGAATGCCACCAAAGGAGACGGAGGTCCCACTATGTCTGCCCGACTGATTCCCATCCTTTCCAGAGTACCTAAAAAGATTAAGTCGACCGAACTGCCCGTATCAATGAGAATTCTCGATACTTCGAAGTTGGCAACGTCTAGGGTAATGACTAGGGCGTCATCATGAGGCCTTTCGAGGTGACGTGTTTCTTCTTCGTCAAACGATATTGACGCGCCTTGGAAGTCAATTTCTTCGCCCAAATTCGCTTTAAGTAAAACATTTCGCCTATGCTTCTTTATGGCACTGATCGTATCTCGGCAAAGTTTGGAACCTCCAAGGATCACATTGATTTTTCCCTTCGAACTTCTAGGTTCTTCTTCGTTGGATTGCCTAGGTCTTTTTAAATTCTGATCTTTGGGGTTATCCTTTGCTTCGTGATATTCCTTCACGAAATCTTCTATCTTGAATTTAGAAAGATCTCCACTGGCCCACAGCTCTGCGAGGTGTTTTTTGAGGATACTACAGTCTTTGGTTAAGTGTCCGGTTACCTTATGGATGTCACAATACAAACTTTCGTCACGGATCCAAGTGTTTGACCTTCCTTTTCCTTGAAATTGTTTCCCGACGGTATTGTTGAGGGGTTGCGATCCGAACTTTTTTGGTCCTTGGTTCTCCCTAGGCTCGAATTTTTTGGTAGGGAAGGTGACCGCTGGTTTTGCTTGTTTGTTCCTTTTCGCAAAACTCTCTTTTTCGTCTTCTACTTCCATCCAGTTATTTGCACGGAAAAGTGCGTCTTGAATCGTGTCCGGTTTGTGAAGTATTAGATCCTCTTTGAACCTTGAATCATGCCACAAACTTTTTCGTAGGGCAGATAAAGCTGACTGCTGCGAGATTCTTGGGAGTTTTGATAGCACCCCCTTGAATTTGGTGATGAAAGTTCTAAGTGACTCATTTGGCCCTTGTGTTAGATTCCAAAGGTCAGCATCCGAAACGCTTTTATCCATGAGGATGGAATATTATTTCAGGAACACAGCCGACAACTCGTCGAAGTTGTTGATTGAGCCTGGTTCCAGCTGGGTGAACCACATTAGTGCTTGTCCGCAAAGATTTTCCGAGAAGAGTTTGCAGTATCCTGCATCCTCGACAGCTTCATCCAATTCGACTCTTCCAGCAGCAATTAGAAAAGCTGCGAGATAGCTCTTTGGGTCTTCTAATCCACTGTAAGGGTCTAGTTTGAGTTTCCGAGAATCCTTGATTCTCAAATTTGCAATTCGCGGGATGAAAGGTGTTCGCCTAGCTTCCTCGATGACTCGGTTGATGTCCGGCTCCGAACTGGTGGCCTGGTGGAACTTTGATTTCATTTCTCTTAGTTCCTGGCTAACCTTTCTCATGGTTTCGAGCTGATCGAAGCTTTCTTGATCATACTGATCCACAAGCTGGTCTTCATCTCCGAGCTGCGTCTCTTCTTCCACCGGTTGAATTGCTGGGTCAGGAGTTGTTTGTTCGTTGGTTTCATTTCGCACACGGGAGTTTGGCGTACTGAACATACTTCTTCGGACTCCCACAGTATTTCCTGCACCTAGAGAACGAACACGAGATGGAATAGTATTGACGCTTTGACCAAGAGATACATGGGTTGTTTTAAGCGTGTCCACAACTTTTTCCACATCCGAGAACTTCTGCGACATTTCTGACATGGTTTGCTGCATGGCTTTGAGAGTTTCAGCTACTGACGAATCAGGGATGCTTGCTCCAGACATTGCTGCTTATCTCGGAAATGTAGTGAGAGAAATCTGACAACTCAAGAATCTTCTAGTCCCCACAGACGGCGCCAAAATGTGGACGTCGGATTCACACACTCGAATATTTGTTTATTTAGTGGGAAAGATTATTCTTGAGGACAAAAATTGACATGAAAAAGCTATGAATTGCAATGGGAATGACTATAGTATAATTGCTCAAAAATTGCGTCTCCTTTACATGGCTCCTGGCCCTATTATTTATATTAACAAACGGACACATTTAACTCTCAATTAAATACAATTATTCTCTCTTAAATGTGTCCGTTTTTGGTCTTCGAGTTTAATGCTCAACGTTTGAATTTGAATTGATTCCGATCTTCATGGGCTTCGCCTTTTGGCCCAAATTACTTTGAACCGTCCTGACTTTGATTCCGGGTCACATCCCGAGATGGGACCACTTCGAGCTCTCTTCGTGATGACGCCCACTTCGATTGTATCTTGTAAACCATGGGCTTAATGGGCCTTATCCTTTGTGGGCCTTCATCCTGATTACGTGGCGATCTTTGGTTGGTCCCGGTCTACTGGTGCGGGATCCGACACCAACACTGACTTGGGGTCATGCATGAACTGAGAGAGTATGTGGATTGCATAGGAAAGTTCCGGCCGAGTAGTGCCAAGGTAAATCAGTCTTCCGACGAGTCGACGATACCTAGCTGGATCGGGGATTGTATCACCAGAAGCTAGACTAAGCTTATGGTTTTGTTCCAAAGGATGAGAGACTGGTCGGACCCCTAGCAAGCCGGTTTCAGTAATAATGTCAAGAGCGTACTTGCGTTGACACAAATAAATACCCGTAGGATTCCGAGCTACTTCTATACCCAAGAAGTATCGGAGAACACCAAGATCCTTCATGTAGAAACAAGGCTGAGGTATTGTTTAAACTCATCAATGATGGCAAGAGTAGAACCCGTAATGATTAGATCATCTACATATACAAGAACGTGCAGCCGTGTTCCTTGTCTATCAAGAGTAAAGAGAGAGTAATCCGAGATGTCTTGTGTGAAACCATACTCCTTAAGGGCCGTTGTAAGCTTAGCAAACCAACAACGAGGAGCTTGTTTCAAGCCGTACAAGGCTTTCCGCAAACGACATACCTTGCTCTTGTCATCCGGTCGGAAACCCGGAGGAAATTGAATGTAGACTTCTTCGTCGAGATCACCATGTAGAAATGCGTTGTGTACGTCCATTTGATGGACTTCCCAATCCATGGAAGCAACTTGTTGAAGAAAGGTACGAACGGTAACCATTTTTGCTACAGGAGCAAAAGTTTCGGAATAATAAATACCTTCAGTTTGATTATTACCAAGGACTACCAATCGTGCTTTATGTCGTTCGAGAGTACCATCCGATTTGTATTTGAGTCTGAAAACCCATTTACAACCTAGTGCTTTCTTTCCAGGAGGTAAGTCTTCAACAGTCCATGTACCAAGATCTTCAAGAGACACAATCTCATCAGACACCGCTGTTCGCCAATTTTCATCTAAAATGGCTTCTTTGTAGCTATGTGGTTCAGTACCAGAAGTGATAGCAAGAAGATAAGCCTGATAATTTTCAGAAAATTGGGAGCTTGATATGTAATTATCCAGAGGATACGGAGTTGCAGAAGGATGCGGCTGATGCATAAGAGTAGTAACATAATCGGCTAATTTGACTGGTGGAAATTTAGCTCTTTTTCCTTTACCTAGAATTTCAGGTTCCGGTGAGGCTGTATCGTCCGACGAAGTAGCAGAGGTAGGAGATACAGGTGAAGACGGAGCAGATTCAGTATGCGTGGGAGAATGTATCTCCTTAAGATCGGAGCTGTTGTCAACACGATTTGAGTTGTCGATGACAGTGGTGTCAAGTGCATCATCATCAAGATTAGAAGGTAAAACAGAGGAGGGTAGATCAACTGTTGGAGCTGGAGAGACGGGAGCTGTAGTGACCGGATCACCCAGAGTAGTGGAGAGGGTAGCACCGGTGACGAGACCAAATGATCATCGGTGGAGAAAAAATCATCTGGAGCCGACGACAGATTTTCAACATCGGAGAATTGAAAATGAAACTCTGTTTCTTTAAAAACAACGTCACGAGAGACATAGATTTTACCAGTTTCAATGTTGTATACACGCCAGCCTCTCTTTGCAAAGGGATAACCGAGAAAAATCGATTTGTGACTTCGACTTTCAAACTTGTCGCCACCGTGCTTTAGATTGTGAACATAGCAAATACATCCAAAAACTCGGATGTGATTCATAGGCGGAGGCCGATTATAAATAAGCTCAAACGGTGTCTTGCCTTTTAGGAGTGGAGTCGGAGTTCGGTTGATAAGATAAGCGGCGGTATGGGCGCAGTAACTCCAGAATTCAACCGGTAAGCGAGCTTGAAAACGAAGTGCACGGGCGACGTTTAAAATGTGTCGATGTTTACGCTCAACACGACCGTTTTGTTGCGGTGTACCGACACAAGACGTCTCATGAATAATACCATTTTCCGCAAAAAAATGATGATAAACAAACAAACTCCGTACCATTGTCACTCCGAATGGTTTTGATCTTTGTATCAAATTGTCTTTCAACAAGAGATATAAAGTTCTTGAGATGCATCGGAGCTGTTTGTTTAGATGGTAAGAGATATAACCAAACTGCCCTGGAGTAGTCGTCGACAATGGTGAGAAAGTAACTAGACCCGCATATGGAAGTAGTCCGATAAGGACCCCAAAGATCGCAATGTACTAATTCAAAAGCAAACGTTGTTTTATTGCTACTCAAAGTAAAAGAATCCCGTGTTTGTTTAGCTCGAATACAAATCTCGCAAGTCTTTGAATCAAAATCACTACCACTAAAATCTTACAACTGCAACATCTTTAAAGCTTTTAAGGAAGGATGACCGAGACGACAATGCCACAACTGCGACGAAGATGAATCCACTCGTGTCATTGTTGCTGCGGTTTCTGTTCCTCTCAAGAAATATAGTCCATTGTGCTGCCTACTAGCTCCAATCAGAGTCATAGTGATGCGGTCCTGAATAATACACACTTTGTCAGTAATTTGAAAGATGCAGCCTCTTGCTTTAGTTAACTGTGAGACTGAGATTAAGTGACAATGAAGACCATCAACAAAGAAAACTTCATGAAGATCTAGAGTGGAGCCTAAGTAAACACGTCCGTGTTTTGTAGCCGTAGTGAATCTTCCATCCGGAAGTTTAATCAAAACTGGAGGCATATCACATACATCACGCAAAAACTCAAGAGTACCAGTCATGTGATTTGTTGCTCCAGAATCTATAATCCAAGACTCAATAAAAAACTTACCAGAACGTGTTTCCGTTGAAGTGTTATTACGGTCTTCAAGCATTTGTCGCAATTGATGCCATTGTGTGTCACTTAGTCCACTGATTCCGATCCGATCAGCATCGGTTAAGGGAGAGTTCGAGCTGACCACCGTATTTGCGCTTACACCCGAGGAGACCTGATTTGCGGATGAGCCACGCCCGACACTCTGTTTTGCTTTAAATGCGTTGCCGGATCCTCTACCATTGGTTGAATTGTTTCCACGCCCAGCAGATGAATTGTTGCGATTACGTAGTTTCTCTTCAAGCCATGGAGGATACCCGATCTTCTTGAAGCAATTTTCGGCGAGATGACCAACACGTCCACAATAAGAGCATACTCTGTTTTCAAGTGAGTCTCTGGTCTCGGTGAAATTGCGGGTTCCTGGGACAGATTGAACCGTAAAACTAACACCATCATTCCTTTCATCGTTCAAACGACTTAAGGACTTAGACTCCTCATCTTGTGTTAAAGTGTTATAAGCTTCCTCGAGAGAAGGCAGTGGAACTCGAGAAAGTAACGCAGATTTGACTGCACCATACACGGATTCGTCAAGGCCCATGAGGAATTGATGAAGTTTGTCTTCCTCACGCTCTTTCCGAACCTCTTCCATCGTCTTTGCTTGTTGATAATCAGCTAGGCTCCTCCACAATTGTGAAAGTTTTTCGTAATATGTTTCAATTGGCAATTCTTTTTGACGACATGTAGCTAACTCCGTTTTGAGACGTTGAACCCTTTGCCCGTTCTTAACTCCAAATCGTTTTTGAATATGTGACCATAGCTCATGAGAGTCATCGAGGTGAGACATAGAAGTGGATATGCTTTCGTGAATGGTAAGCTTCATCCATGATACAACTAGAGCGTTGTTAGCTATCCAATCTTCAAAATCCGGATCTGTTGCAACAGGTTGAGGAATAGAACCATCGGCGAATCCAAACTTCTTCCTAGCTTTCAAAGCTAATCGCAGATTGGTGGCCCATTCGTCGTAGTTGGGACCACGCAAAAGTGGTTTGGAGATCAAGGTGCCTGGATTGTCGCTGGAGGTTAAATCATATGGCGAGATGGTTCGCCGCACCGGTGCTGTGGTGGTAGCAAGGGCTGCTTCGGTGCTCATTGTGAAAAGAAGTTGTCAAAGAGAGATTGACAAAAACAAGGTCAAAGAAACGATGAAAATAAACAGAGTTTGAGAAAGAGATTTCTTGTAGCGGAAGTAGAAATCACAAGATCAAGCACAAAACCTTTTAGTAGTTAGGTTTTGCTCTGATACCATGTCAAATAGAGAAGGAGATTGTAAATTGTGCTTCTTATTTACTCTGTTCCAAGACAAACGTCTTATATACACGACGATACATACGTTTAACCTAATGGGTTTTGTACAAGAGATTAACTAATTGGGCTAAGGGGCCTCATGGCCCAAGACGTCTTCAAAGTGGTTTTGTCGATTGACTGAAACAGGTAGTTTTTGGCTTTGAGATCTTTGAGTTTTGCTTCATCAAGCGCCTTCTGTTGTGTCGGAGTAGGCGCTTGATTCCTCTCAGATCATCAAATCCAGGGTCAATGACATTCCAGTACTCTTTGGAGCGAAGAAGGTTCTCCATGACTTGACTCCAGTGGTCGTAGTCTCCATCGAACTTTGGTACGGCAGGTGTAGTGAAGCTTCCAGCGTCTGCCATTCTATCTGTGGTGTCTTTCCTCTCAAACACTCACAATGATTCGCTCTGATACCAGCTCAAAGAAAATAGAAACAGTGTTTGCTCTTAAAGAATGAAAGAAGTCTGAATGATACGTGTTATTGAACAAAGGAGAGACAATGGCTTATATAAGCCTTTACAACCAACAAAGAGAAACTTAAAGAGAACAATAC